TGAGAGAGATGAAACAGACAGAGAGATGGAAAGAGAATGCCGAAGCATAAAAGAGATGAAAGAATGAGCAAACTTTCCTCAATTTATAATGAGGGGAAATATTATTGTCCCCCAAACTTTCTTGCATTTTTTAATTTGACTTTTAGATTTTGATTAATATTAATTTTACGTCAAACTTTTAAAATTTTGATTAATTTGGCACCCTGCTGTTACATTTCATCTACAATTAGACAAAATATGCTAACATGGTAACTAAAATTCATTTGAAATTTTAGTTTACCCCCAAAACTATATCTTAAAAATCAATTTGCCCTCAAATATATATAAAAAAAAATTAAATTTAAATATTTAATAAATAATTTTTTATCTCAATAATTAAAATATTAAATTTTAAATAATATACACTTTGCAAAAAAATAATAAATAATATAAAAATCCTTATTTAGAATTATTTTGAGACTATGAAGTATGGATAATTCGACAAACATATCGTGCCCGTACCGGATACTTACCGACGTAAGATATTTTTGCATACGTACCAGATACACAAACATGTACTCAAATTTTTTCTTCTTAATTTTTGACGTACCCAGACATATCTAGTATATACCCAAGTCATGCCGTATCTCAGTCGAAACAATATTTTCTTCTACTACAAAGATAAAATACCTTTTATTAGACTTCTTTCTCATTGTTAGTTTTGTGATTAGCATGGTTTTAAAATTAAGTTATTGTTTGTAAGTTATTTAATATAATAATATTTAATTTTGGTTTCTCTTGTACTTGTACTTTTGACATTAAATGTCAATTGTATGTTAGATTTAACAAATTAAACCATTTAATTAATTTTTTGTATTTTTCCAAATTAAAAACAAATATTTTTTTTTATAAACGTATTAAGTCGTACCCGTATCGTATCAATACCAGTACTCAAATCTGTGCTTGTGTTTCATAGGTCTCAAATTATCTCGAGTTAATCTTGAAGAAAGTTATGGAGCCTAAAATTTCTCGGTTGTTCTATGTGTTTGTGTGCGCACGATTGTAACTAGTTTATTACCCAATTTAATTTTAATAAAATTGATCAACTAATAGTAATTTCAAAATTGAGTGGGAAAAAAATTTCAAAATTCGGTTAGTACCCGGTATGGGTACGACATGTTTGTCGAAGTATCCATGCTTCATAGTCTCAAGATAATTCTAAATGAAGGTTTTTATATTTTTTTTTGCAAATTATATATTATTTAAAATTTATTTTTTTCATTATTAAGATAAAAAAATTATTTATTAAATATTTAAATTTAATTATTTTTATATTTTGGAAGCAAATTGATTTTTAAGGTATATTTTGGGGGATAAAATGAAATTCTAAATGAACTTTAGTGTCACGTCAGTACAATTCGTCCAATTGTAGACGGAATGTGACGACATGAGCTAAATTGACCAAAAGTTTGAAACTTTGAGTGTAAAATTGATATTAATCGAAATCTGGAAGTCAAATTAAAAAATGTATAAAAATTTTGGGAACAAAAATTATATTTTCCCTTATAATGAATAAAACTTGGGGGCAAGAAAAAGAAAAAAATAAAATAAAATAAAGGACATGCAAATGGAGGAGGAGAAGCCTGGCATGGTATGGCATGTGTTGCCTATCAATCAAAGATGAATAGGGTACGGGAAAGGATGGGGGTGGTCGGCCACGTTTTTTTATTTATTTTTATTTTTTTAAGAAAGGAAGAAAGATGGTAAATGGGATAGAAAAATTTGTTTTAAAAAAGATGAACCAAATATTATTATTAATGATGAGATGAAAATAAAAGAGATAAAATAAATATAAGGGAGTAAATTAGGTTCTCATATAAAAATCTTACCATCAAAATATTATAATAAATCACCAATACCTTTTACTAAATATTAATATCTAAAAAATATGAGATTTCACAATTTATCCCTTTTAAACAAATTTTGTCCTCGAAATTCACTAAAACCTAATACTCCAAAATTTAATAACGAATAACTTAAATCACTTGCTTCCATTGTGCACTCTGACATAAACAACGAATAATTTTTTTTAGCCCCAATTATTGATCATCATTCCCCCCCCCCAATATCAACCAATTTTTATTTTATTATTATTTTTTTAAAGCTCAAATATTTTCCACCCAATAGATCCCATGTAAGACCTAATTCCTACACTCTAATACCATTTTGTAATGCCCCAACTTCCTAGCCATTAATAAATTGAATGCCCCTCAAATTTACAATTTTAGATAAACTAATAATCTAAAATATACAAATCAGTCGCCAAAAATAATAAGACAAATCTCTCCAAAATATTATATAATGGTGAGCCCAAAATTTGTAACACAAATAATCCCTTTAATACTTCAACCTCGATTGCCACTAAATTGTTCCACACCTGAAAAATAAATCAACTCGGGAAATATTAAATACAACAGGAATAATAAGATTCGGATAGAGAATTAATCAACAAGGATCGAATAAATTACGACATTGCATAAACAATACGATTCGATAATTTACCAAATTGCATCAACAAATCACTAAACATATGATAATTTATCCAGGACCAAATACCCAGTCTTACTCAGTACATGACCAGTGACCCGCCTCACCCATCTCACCTAAGCACAACCGTTTATCCGAACATATTGGTGCAAGTTATTGGCAAAGTCTGCTCGATCAATATACGAAGTATTTCTACATCATTTAGTCAGACAAATCAACATTGTCAATTCATGATAACTTCATAGAATTTTATCAAATGACTGAAATAATCAAACGAATCAACAATGAATAATTCTACAGAATTTATCAAATGACCAAAATAATTAAAAGGAGTACAAATTAGAAGTAATAAAAACAAAACTCTTTGTAAAGAAATTTAAAAGAAAGCATATTGTATACCACCCAGTTATCTCAAATCAATTCGTTTATCACCAATACTTTAATCATCTGATATTTTACCATAGATCTCCAAATGTAGCAGATTAATATTCTAATGCACAAAGTATATATGATTTGACAAAATTTATAACTTTTTTTCTATAAAATTAGTAACTCCCACTCTGAACACTTTCAAACTAAATTCAAAATTTTATTACAAATGGAGAAAGAGAGAGAGAGAGAGAGAGAGAGAGAGAACAGCTGAGAGAGATGAAACAGACAGAGGAAGAGAGAATGCCGAAGCATAAAAGGGATGAAAGAATGAGCAAATTTTCCTCAATTTATAATGAAAAAAACATGGGGGCAAAGGAGAAGAAAAAATAAAATAACCTAAAAGGACATGTAAATAGAGGAGGAGAAGCATGGCATGGCATGGCATGTGTTGCCTATCAATCAAAGATCAATAGGGTATGGGAAAAGATGGGGGCGGTCGGCTAAGTTTTTTTTATTTTTGTTTGTGTGTGTCTATTTATATAGGTGAATTGGTGGCTTTTCGAAAGGTCATAGTGATTTTTCAATAAAAAGACACATCTCTTTTCTATCAAAAGACACAACTCTTCCATGGAATAGGTACAAAGAACAGATATGACTGCTCTTTCAAACAAATTCGAATTTTGAATCGAATCTGGTTCAATTTTGACCCAAAAATATAACAAATAAATTTAATTTTAAATTAAATAATTTTTTTCTTAAAACCATACTCAAATGGTGCACTTTGTAGTCAATTTCTCATTCACCTATTAATGGTTTCCAACCCATTTTTCCAACATTAAGAAGGGGAAGCGCAATTCATATTGCCCTCGAATTACCAAAGGAAAGCACAATTCATCTTGCCCCTGAATTTACCAAAGAGAAGCACAATTCATCTTGCTCCTAAATTTTCTAGGAGGCAAAGCAATTCATCTTGCCCCTGAATTTCCTAAGAGGTAGAACAATTTATCTTGCCCCCGAATTTCCCAAGGGGTATGCTCTCAAATTTCCCAGGAGGCAGAGCAATTCATCTTGCCCCGTGAGGATTTCATCTCAGTATGGCATATTTGACCAAAATAAAAGTCTCCATCCAAATCTCAAATTTGGCTGCTTATCTGACCAAAGAAGGGGTAATAATATCTCCATGCTGGGAATAAGAATGCATAAAATTCATACTTGGCAAATAATAAAAATCCAATATAATAACTGATAAAAATATATTCATACTCGGAATAACAAAGCATAAAATTCATACTTCGCTGATAATAAAAATCCGACATAATAATTGATAATAATATCTCCATGCTCGGATTAATAATGCATAAGAATTCATGCACCGTAAATAATAAAAGTTCGACATAATAACTGATAATAATATTTTGATGTTTGGATTAATAATTCAAAAAAATTCATAGTCTTGACGATGAAGCCAGTGTCTTTTTGTAGGGACATACGAATCATGCTTCAATTGATTTAGCCATATTCTGGCTCATTCACTCCTCTTGGCTCCAGGTTTTGGTGTGAAGTAATCATGGCAAAATTTTCAAGATCTTGACAAATTTAGGAGTTGCGAGGAAATTAGTTTCACTGCTTGTCTACAATTGCTCATTCATGAATTGATTTTATTGATATCGGAGCTACTTTTGCCAAAGCTATTGCTACCAAAGCAGTAATTGGTAGATCGGCCATGAGAGTAATTAGTTTCACACTTGTTTTGAGAAGAACATCTTCTTTTGAGATTCAAGATGTCCACCTACAAAATCGAGAATAGTATTTAATAGGTCGTATCATTGATAGAAGGGCACTCCAACATTAAAGTTGGTAACACTCTACGGAGAATGCTCAATATTACAAACAAATGCTTAACTCTTTTTGTTTAAATTTTTTTTTCTCACTTTTTTATATAAAAATTTATTAATTAAATATTAAATATAATTATTTTAATAAATTCAGGAGTCTAATTGGTATTTCGAATAGTTTTGGGGGGTAAAATGAAGTTTCAAACGAAGTTTCGGTGCCACGTTCGCAAGTTCCATCTGATTATAGAAGACAAAATTCATCCAAAATTGAATAGCTTATATATAAAATTGAAGGCCTGAAATTAAAAAGGAAAACAAACTCACATCACACGTACATTACATTATCATTCTCCCTTTTTGTGATAATCATACAATTTATACAATTTGTGATAATCATAATCCTCTTCCTTTTTGACTTACTGTTCACCATTTCTCACTGTTTTGACGAGCATCAAGCTTCATATTGTCCTGTAATTTAGTTACCAAAGAGCAAAAAATGTACATGTCAGTGTACGGTATAAATTTGAACTCAATCAAGATTGGCTCCAAACTCTAACATAATTCCTACAATTCAAGCACATAAAATTGATTGTTCAAATCACCATTAATAGTCTTTTAGAATACCCACATTATGTGATTGAATTGCATAATGTGGGTATTAATACAGATTGACTTGATAACTGTTGATTTTATTCTTTTAAGGTCCATCAAAGTGCATTAGATTTTAAGAATTGTCCCAGTATTATATTCTATACAAAAACCTGTGAGAACAGTTCTTTCCATATTAATGAAATTGGATTGTTTTCAATTGATATTTTTTGATTGGAAAAGAATAAGCTCATTTGAAAACTCACACTAGAAAACATGCCATGCTCGCTTCCATTATTGTCCAATAATCTACGTAGTGTCCTGTTAACAAGGACAAACCATGGAGGATCAAAACAAATGTTAGAGAAACAATAAGAGCAATTCCATAGAAGAATGAAGTTAGAAATATTGAGCAAGACCTTTTCAATTTGGCACCTAGTTCGAAGTTCGTCTTTTAGGAGTTTGTTCTTGACCAAATGAAGTTCATGGAGGATATTACTTATGCTCATTCGACCTTGTGGTGACTCTGTAGAGCATGCCACTCCAATATTGACCATGGAAATCAAACATTCCACAATTTTGCAGCGATTGTTCACTTGAATTGTTGTTGCTCTAGTCTCTTCTTCCTCATTGTCTAGGAGTACCGGGTCTACAATCTCCATCACTCGGTCAGGCAAGGCTGTTCTTGCGAAGTTGTGAAGATTATGCTCATCCTCAAACATGTTCTCTGTGGGTCTCTTCCCTGTTATCATCTCCAATAACAAGATCCCATAACTGTAGACATCACCATAAGTTGAAATCTCACTTCCGAGCCCATACTCTGCCATTAAAACAATTCACATTCAAAGCCCAAGGATCATTTTCTGCAAAAGCATATTGATACGAAAGAAAAAGGAAAAATCAATTATGACAAATATGAATTCCATAATATTAAAGCCATACATTCTACATATTCCAGTAAGATATTCTATTAGAAGAAGGGTAAAGAGTGGTTACCAGGAGCTACATATCCGATGGTTCCCCTTACTCCAATTGAGCTACTTTGATTTGGATTGGTGAGCTCTGGGAAAAATTTAGCTAGACCAAAATCTCCAATATGGGCAACCATCTCACGGTCAAGAAGGATATTACTCGGCTTCAAATCACAGTGAATGATCAGTGTTTGGCATTGGTGATGAAGATAATCGAGCGCACAAGCCACATCTATGGCAATGTTTATTCTTTGTAGAAGGTTGAGTCTCTGCTGCTCATTTTGCCCATTATTTGTTTCTAGACTTGCATGCAACCACCTCTCTAGACTCCCATTTGGCATGAACTCATAAACTAGAGCTTTGAAATCATCCCCTTGAAAATCAACACTGGAACAAGAAGTTATGATCCTAACCAAGTTTCGGTGTCGAATATTTCTCAAGGTTTCACACTCTGCCCTGAAACTCTTGATGGCTACACGATTTTGAAGGTTAAGTACTTTGATAGCGACAACAAACTCCCTATCCTGAACGAGAATTCCTCTATATACAGAGCCAAAACTACCAAAACCAATTAGGTTCGCAGAAGAGAAACCGTCTGTTGCTTTGAGGAGTTTCTCATAGGAGACTTTCAAGAATGATTCTTTCAACACTGGAACTGTAGATTGAGCTGTTCTTTGCTTCTTGAACAAATAAATTGTAAAGAATGACAAAAGTGCTGCTCCAACAAGTACAGAAGCTGCTGTAATTGCCAATATATGTGAAATACGCATCTTATGTTTTGATTTCTTGGTGATGCAACTCGGTAGTTGTAGCTCAGAAATACCCCCACAAAGCCTTTGATTTCCAACAATTGATATTGCACTTGCATTTGCGAAAGCCCCTCCATTGGTAACTCACCCTCAAAATCATTGAAGGATAAATTGAGAATCATTAGGGAAAATTTCCCTAAGAATGTCGGAATTTTTCCAGACAAGTTGTTTTGAGAAAGATCAAAGTTTTGAATACCTCTCAAAGATTCCAATGATAGAGGAATAGATCCTTGAAAAGAATTTTCCTGCATATAAAGGTTTTCAAGGCTAGTGCAACTACCAAGACTGCTAGGAATTTCACCAGACAACCTATTCTCAGAGATATCCAGTTCTATTAAATTCTTAAGGTTTCCAATCTCTGTTGGCAAGGAACCAGACAAACGATTCCGAGCTAGATTTAATGAAATTGACAAAGATGAGACTTTCAAGAGTTCTTTGGGAATGTTTCCACTCAAGTTGTTTTGGTGAAGGTCCAGCCACAACAGCTTTTTACAGTTAGCAAGCCTTGAGGGTACGGTCCCCTCTAGTCTGTTGCCCCCTAAGAAAAGTTCAATCAACAATGACAGGTTTCCGATGGAATCTGGAATTTTCCCTGAGAGGTGGTTCATTTCAAAAGTCAACAATTTCATCTTTGGAAGATTTCCTATGCTAGTTGGAATTGTACCTGTGAATTGGTTACCGTCCATACCCAACTCATCCAAGTTGACAAGGTTACCTATTGTTGAAGGAATAGTTCCATATATTTGATTTGCACCAAGTGTAAAGAAAAACAGATTCTTTGACAGGTTGCCAACAGATTCTGGTATCACCCCTCTAAATTGGTTTACCTCCATACTCAATGTTTCCAAATTGCTCCAGTTGGCGAAAGAACCAATAAAGGCTAGGTCATCTGGTTCCCCACTTCCGAAATTGTTATCAGATAGAGCTATGTCCTTGAGATTCTGTAGTCTTCCAAAATTAATTGTTATTTTCCCATTGAAGTTGTTATATTCTGCTTGAAAATTTTCAATTTTTGAAAAATTTGATATTGACAATGGAAGGGTTCCGGTAAATTGGTTATCATTTAACTGGAGGAATTGAAGATTAGGGAACATGAAACCAAAGCTTGGCGGAAGACTACCATGAAGTTGGTTAAAAGACACAGAAAAAAGATTTAGGAATGAAAGATTATAAATAGATGGAGGGATCATACCGGAGAGTTGATTGCCACCCAATCCAAGTTTTGTTAATTTTTTCAATTGACCCAAGGTATCTGGAATACTTCCTCCAAAAGAATTTCCAGCAGCAGAAAAGCTTTTCAGAGAAGTAAGATTCCCAATGAATGGAGAAATACCTCCAGTCAAATTGTTCTTGTGAATGGCAAGAAATGTGAGCTTTGGCAAGGAAGTAAGCTCTTTGGGGAATTTCCCGACTAGTTTATTTTTACCAACATCAAGGTATGTGAGGTTGGAGCAGCGGGATAAGCTAGCTGGAATTTCTCCTTCAAAGTTGTTGTTGGTCAGGTTCAAAATTTGCAACCTGAACAGGTTGCCGAGTTCAACAGGGATTTCACCCTGAAAAGTGTTGTTAGAGAGCGACAACCCCCGAAGGAAGGTGAGGTTCCCTACATAAGGAGACAAGGAACCAACTAGACCTTGGGACGTCAAGTCTACAATGGTGACTCTCCTGTGCCGGTGACCGCACAGAAATGGAGAGAATTGTTCCATGAGCTCACAACCCCATGAGGGTCTTGCAAAATCTTTGACTTGAAGGTGAGCAACGCAAAACGATCAGTCTCGTTCCCAACAAAGGTACTACTAGCTTTAGTGGCTGCCGGGAGTGTTCCAACATGTACAAGTGTCATGGCTACGACACATATGCCACTCCATACGTAAAATAACTGGAGTAGCTGAAAACCCATTACTGAAAGTGGAGATGCCATTTTCAGATCTCCTTATATTTTTATTTTTTGGTGTGCAGTTGCAAAGTTAGGCTTGGTTGTGTGATTATTTATAACCTGCAATTTCCTTTCCTCCACGGGTAAGCATTGTCTGTGTAGGGTGGAATATGTGCGACTGCACATGCGAAATTCCTAATCAAGTGGGGACCGCATGCTTGCAGTGAATTTGGTTTTATAATTTTAATTATGTCATACTTGAAATTCTCATATTTGTGTCAATTTAATTCAATTGGTGATGTCGCTACTTAAAAATTGAATTGAAATCAACAGACAAAATAGTCAATTCACTCTCTTCAAAGTGCATTGAGGGGGTTGACCTAAATGACACATTTTCTTTTGAATGAACCATTTTGCTTTTAATTTTTGTTCAATTTCTTAGGAGAACTTATTAATTAGATTAAATTGATACAATGTGAAAAATTAGAGGATAAAATTGATATAATTAAAAATATAAAAATTAAATTGAGACGAGATAAATTACACGGAGAAAGAAAAAAAAAAAAGAAGGAAAAGTCACATTACACTCATGAGAGGTAGAGAATGATTCTTATTCCTTGTGGAATGCACCGTGATTTTAAATTGTGTTTGGGTGATATATTCTGGTAGAGATTTAAAAAGGAAAAAAAAAATCACCCATATTGTTCACACTGTTTTTTTTTTTTTATTTTTTTATTTTTTCTTTTTAAATTCTTATAGTCATATATTCGGATAGAGATTTGAAAAGAAAAAAAAAATTATATTTCACTCACATTGTCCACACTTTTTTTTTTTTTTTCAAATTCCTATGAGGAGTATGTTTGGTTTGGTTTTGGAAGAGTAGTTTTAAAAATTGTTTTGGGAAGAGAGTTTAGAAATTTTTTAGTTTGTTTGGTTGTGTATTTTGAAAGTAGTTTTGGAGTTTGAAAGTTTGGAATGATTTGATATTTTGTTATAATTGAGTAGATGTGTGTGAGAGAAAAAGTAATTGAGAAGGAGGAAAGAGGAGAGAGAAAAAGTGATTGAGTGATAAGTAAGAGAGAGAAAGTGATTTTGGAAATTGTTTTGGAAAATTTACAAACCAAACAAATTTTTTAGAAATTGTTTTCCAAAATCACTATACAAATCCAAACCAAACATACCCGATTTTGCCCCCCAAACTATCAATTTGACCCCCATACTTCGATTTATCTCAATTTAGTACCTGAACTTTCAACAAATTGATCAATTTAACCCCTGCCGTCACATTCCGTCCACAATTGGACGAAATGTGCTGACGTGGCACCAAAGTTCATTAGAGTCATTTTACCCCCCAAACTATACCTTAAAAATCAATTTTCCCCTCAAATATAAAAAAAAAATTAAATTTAAATATTTAATAAATATTTTTATCTCAATAATGAAAAAATTTAAATTTAAATAATATATACTTTGCAAAAAAATAATAAAAAAATATAAAAGTCCTCATTTAGAATTATCTTGAGAATATAAAGTATGGATACTCGACAAATATGTCGTACCCGTACTGGATACTTACTGAATTTTGAAAAAAAAATTCCACTCAATTTTGAAATTACTATTATTCAATCAAATCTATTGAAATTAATTTGGGTAATAAACTAGTTACAGTTGCTCGCGCACACACACACAGATTAGTCAAGAAATTTTCAGCTCAATAAGTTTCTCTATAATCAACTCGAGATAATTTGAGACCTATGAAGCACAAGTATGGGTATGAGTATTGGAATTGGTACGATATGAGTATATCGATATGGTAATATCTTTAAAAAAAAAATAGGGTACGAGTACAGGTATGGTTTAATACGTTTGTAAAAAAATATTTATTTTTAATTTGAAATAATACAAAAATTAATTAAATGCTTTAATTTGTTATATCCAACATACAATTGACATTTAATGCCAAAAGTATAGGTATAAGATAAAATTAAATATTATTATATTAAATAACTTATAAATCATAACTTAATTTTACAACCATGCTAAGAAAAATATTATTTTCGACTGAAGTACGACACGACTTGGATACATATTAGATATGTCTAGGTAGGCCAAAAATTAAGAAAGAAAATTTTGGGTACATATTTTCTGTACCCAGTACGTATGCAAAAATATCATACGTCAGTAAGTACTCGGTACGAGTTCGACATGTTTGTCGAATTATCCATACTTCATAGTCTCAAAATATTTCAAAATGAGAATTTATATATATATATATATATATGTTTTTGCAAAGTATATATTATTTAAAATTTTATTTTTTCATTATTGAGATAAAAAATTATTTACTAAATATTTAAATTTAATTTTTTTATATTTGGGGGACAAATTGATTTTTAAGATATAATTTGGGAGGTAAAATGAAATTCCAAATGAACTTTGGTGCCACGTTAGTATATTCTGTCCAATTGTAGACGAAATATGACGGAGGGGTTAAATTGATTAAATTGATCAATTTATTGAAAGTTCAAGTACGAAATTGAAATAAATCGAAATATAGGGGTCAAATTAAAAAACGCGTGATAATTTGGAAGCAAAATGATATTTCCTCAATTCCTATACAATTCTATGACGTAACAAAATTGAAACAATTCCTATACAATTCTATGACGTAAATTCCAATACAATTCTTTTTTCTTTTTCTTTTTTTTGACAAAATTAAAAATAATTAGGGATCTATACGGGAAAGAAATAATCTTCTCATATAATCCTGTTAATCAAGTTTGCGCTCCTCCGTACAATGTCACTTTACTCCCTGAAAATACAAACGTGAGCTAGCCGGCGGGTGTGTGCCGGATACCTCTCCGATGCCTAAGTCAGCAAAATAGACAAATAGACAAAAAGCTTTGCGTATTCGAGAATCAAAGTTGTGTTACCTCTCCATAGATGATGTTAATTATGAGCTTTTATAGGTTTCGTGTGGCACAATCCTAGTTGGACTCTTACTCCTCCATGTAGAGTCCTCCTAGGAATCACATTCCTGAAAGATAATGCTTATCCTTCAATACCCCCTTCACTGCTTAAACCAAGTGAGATGGTTTTACCATGGTTGGATGTTACGACCGAGATAACATGGCTACGCTAAAGCCGTAGACTAGACCGAGCTCCAACTAGCTCGGTTCTTCCTTTCACTATGCGTGTACCTCGATTGACGTATTCCAACTGGGTTGTCTGAAACCGTGCTATCCACAATGAACTTGGACCGAGCTATCTAACAGCAAGGTCTTACGTAGAAGCCAACATACTTCGGCAGAATATGGTATGACCGAGCTACTATCTCTACTCCGACCGTGGTTATTCTTGGACCGAGCAAACACTTGCGAGGTCACTTCCATACCTGGACTGAGCTAACACTTGGACTGTGGTCCACTTACTAAGCCCTTCTTACTATGGCCCATAGAACGGCCCATTTCCCAGCTCGGCCCAATTTACATATAAATTACCCTCTCAATTGCCCCTTAATTCCATCTGCGCAACATGATAGGGATTACCTGTTACCAGCCAAGCTAAAAACTTTAGCCGTTCAACCGAGCTAAATTCATACCGTGCTAGCAATCTGTCCGGTCAAAATGTCTCTTCAGTCGCTATAACTGAATCGATTTCCATTCCAAGGACACGTGGCAAACTTTGATTAGCACAATGCAACTGTCACGCCGTCTTCGTATTTCGCAACTTTTGAACAGTCCCGCCTTTTTTCCTTCCTTTCACACAAAACAAACCCTTTGTTCTTGAATCAATCATTTCTCTATTCATCTCCCTCTCTCTCTGAGCCTCTATTTTTCCAAATTTCTTCTCTCTTTCTCACTGCAACTGTAGAGCTCGTGTTCTTGCTGCCATCAATCCTTTCTTCAGTTCCTCCATCTTGAGCTGGTAAGTGGTTCGAATCTGTTTCCTTTTCATTTATTTCATACTGTTCTTACAATACATAGTTTAGTATTCATATGTTTTCCAAAATACATACCATGTTTGCTTCCATTTTTCTGGGAAAAACCACGTAATAAAAACCATTTGTATTTCACGAATAATCTAAGAAACACTGTATTTGATCCAAAATCACACCCCAACCGAACTAGGATGCTATTTGTATTAAGCGCAAACCTAGCCATACCTAACAACCGAACTAAAACTTCACGCCATACTTATAGCTTCCATAAGTTAGGGACCCTCTGCTTCTTTTAACCGAGCTATCGAACCGTACTAAGTTTGCTCAATACCGTGCTAGAAAGCCTCAACCACCGACCGGGCTAAAACTTGGGGCTAAACCAGCTCCCTTAGTTCAGACCGAACTAAGAATGTTGCCCCAAAGATTTAACCGAGCTAAGGTCCCTAGCTCAAACCGGGCTAAGAAGGGGTAATGGCCCATGTAGCCGAGCTAGGACTTCATTTATTTTGCCGTTGTCTCTTTTAGCACGGTCCAACGATCTGTGCTTAACACCTCTCTTTTTTCACTTTGCAGACTTAGGCTGCCAGGCACTCCCTTGAACGCTCGACCGAGCTACTGAGCGTCCTTTCAGGACCGAGCTAATACCCCGCTTATTTATTCTTAACTGAAAACCTCATGGGTAAATATAGATATCTGGTAAACACCCCAGGTGCTATGGCCGAGTTCCGAAGGGACTACCATATCCCTGATGATGTCCATCTCACCCTAGCCGAACTAGACATCATACCTTGGGGGAACCCTGGTTTTGTTCCTTTTACCCTTCTTTCCATTGTAGAAACCAGATTAAGATTCCCTGTACAGCCTCTTCTCTGTGAATTTCTTAGGCAAACCAACCTCTGCCCCACCCAGCTTTCCAAAAATTCATACCGTATAATAAATGGTATCGCCGAGCTAAACCGCCGGGCTGGCCTTAACCTCGGTTTAGCCGAGCTTTTCCACCAATATTCCTTAGGTTCAAATGAAGATGGGTGGGTTTATTATTTAAGAATAAGGTGTCGGCGTGAAAAGATAATAAAGAATACCCCGGATAAAGATATGAATGACG